TTTTTTTTTTTTTTGCTGAACAGGAGTCTTAATGCATTGTGAGGAAAACATTAAGGAAATTGGCTGAAAGGCTTGGAAAAATCATTATTGCATCTGCTGGACTGAAAAATACAAAAAAAAATTGCTTACTCTTCCTTTTTTTCTGGATAATTACCAGATTCCACTACGTGATAACTTATACTTGAGCAATAAAATCTAGCACCGACCATTTATTCCCATTGATTAAATACTACACTGTAGCAGCATATGAGGTTTAAAATAGATACATTCATTAGAACTGGGAAGAAACTGTACTTTTAGAGGAAGTATCTGGTATATTGGTTTGGGGGTGGTTGTGGAACAGTGCTTAATATTCCTGCTATCTAACCTGCTCATCGCACAGCAATCCAGCAGCAATTAACCAGTATCCTCTGGCAGGCAGTAGGAGCTGACAAACTTGCTGAGCCGGTCCCTGAGCACCCAGAGGATGACAGCAAGCAGTCACAAGGAGTGCTGGGAAACTGCCTCTGCCTTCCTGGCCTGAGAGCCACAGCTTGCCCAGAAAGCAGTGGGAAGAGCTCTTCTTGTGGGGGATCCTGCTCATGCCAATGAGAAGCCCTAGAGTAAAAAAAAAACAGTGTCTTAGAGGCCCAAAAGAAAGCTGAGACTCTTCTCTGTTATCTTCTATATTATCAGCTTAATTTCTGCTCGTTGGTCCCAGTTTTATCCATTTCCAAGAGATTCATTCTACATTTACCATTACTGGACTAGCTTCAAGCCCACAGGATTCTTTGCAGAGGAGCAAGCAGGAGAAGACATTTTCTCTGGCTGAGATTTGTGCTCAGGCAGAGATGCCATAGGCATGAGAAACTAGGAAAAAACAAAATAAAACAAAACAAAAAAACAACACAAACCCCTAGTATCTAGATAGCTGCTCAGTTGCAAGACATAACATTCTCACTTATAAAAGGCAGGAGACACACCTAGAAGAGCTGATTTAGAAATAACAATAATAATACAACTTGTGACCTATACACCCTGCATGAAGGACAAAAGCAGGCTGTATGCTTATGGGAACAGTGGTTCTGAAACCCAGCTATTACTGTTGTTTTTCCAAAACAGAGTCTCCAGAGGAAGATCAACAAGGCAATGGTAATTCTCAGGTTACTAAAGCTGCTCAAGAACAGTGATAAATTAAGCTTGGATCTAAGGAAAACTGCTCCTTCACAGAATCATAGAACAGCATATGTTGGAAGAGACCTTGAAGATCAACTAGTTCCAACGCCTCAGACTTCCCAGGGCCCCATCCAACCTGTCTCTGAAAGCCTCCAGGGATGGGGCATCCACAGCTTCTCTGGGCAACCTGCTCCTTAGCATTTCAAAGTCTGGCCCCAGATTGTGTCAGGTGCTCAAGGAGCACAGTGTAGCCCTGTCCCATTCCTCGTGTCTCTTGGTGCTTCTGGGCACCTGTGGCCAAGCAAGGGCAAATCCCTCACCACTAGTCACCTCTGTGTCCCTCACATGGCTGGACACAAGGCTGGCTTCATGTTTCCCATTGGTTTTGAGGAATGGCAAGGCCTGGAAGGACTGCCCAAACCTTCGAACTCACGCTTACATAGATGACTTCTCTGAAGACATTTGAAGGAGGTTTGTTGTCTGCAACTTTATCATGCAGTCAGAGGGCAAATGTGCTCAATTCATATGAGATCTCACTTAGTTTCCCAACAGCAGAAAGATGATCTCTCCTCTGAGAAAAAGGAAGTCCTGCTACGACATCAGACTAGTAGAAATCTTGGGGTTAATCCTGTCATTCGGGTTCTCCAACGCTGTTCACATCCACATTCTTGTTACTGCAGGTGATGCAAATAGTGGCTGCTTTCAGAGATTAGATCAAGTGATGGCTTGGATTTTGAATGCAGCTTCATTGAAGAGGAATGCCCAATTATCCCTACTGTAAAACTATGTCATTGTCAAGTACTGGTATTTATCATCTCCTGCCTGTACAAGTTTTGTTTCTGTTATAAATTTAACCTAGAGCTTTCAGCACAGTAACCTTTATAATTAAAATGGCAACATGCCTCATAACTATCTCATTTTTGCTCACCCATCGCTCACTGGGGAAAATACAGTCCCCCCCAAAAGCTGAGTATGGAAATTTGTAGGAGTAAGGAAGGTCTGGGAGATAATACTGCAAGAACGTCATTAAACTTCTTTCTGAGTTACTAGGACAAGGAATGTGCAAAGCACATTTTACTTCTATCAGGAGACATGGGTCTTTTGTAAGGCTGTTTGGTGTGGTTTGGATTTGGAAGCCCCAGTCATGCCAATGATTTGGCAAGGCTAAGCCTGTGCTTTGGTCCTTCTGGAGCCTTAGGGATCACCTTAGGGTGCTGGAACAGTTACCAAAGCAGGGTCTGGTTTGGCATAGCCCTTACTGAGCAGTAGGAACAAGCCATCCCCATTCTTTTGCTTGTGAATGCTGTTCAAGGACTTATAGAAGCAAAGCCTCACTGAAATGCACAGGGGTGGCATCAGAGAAGTACTTCTCTGGAAAGAAGAACGAGCTTGGAAGACGACATCCAAATTCCCAAAGTTATGATCAATTATGTTTCTCACTGACAAAGAAACCTTTAACTAAACTCCATGTATGTAGCTTTCTGCTGCCTCATACAGTTGTGCAGATGTGCAATTATGTTCTGCCAGTGAGGCTGTGTAGTTATGCACCTCTGAAATTGCCGAAGAGTTCAATTTGCTAACCCCATCATAATACACTTAGCACTGTTTGTTTTGCTTTTATCTGTTCTTTTTAACTGAAAGGGTGGAGGAAATTAAGTAAACATTCCGTTTATTAGCAGTTAATGTCTTCACTTTACAGATCTCAGGAAATGAGAGCTCTGTGATAACTGGCAACATCAATTGCTGATTTACCAGGAATCCCCCGCAGTGCATGACTGCATGAGCCAGCAAAGGCTGAGGGATTGCACAGCTGCCTCCGACTGCCCCCAGCTACATTGGGGCTGCGTTGGGCAGAATGCGTGGAATGCCAGTCATGCCTATGATTTTAGTCAGGTTATTCACCAGTGGCACCTATTTCTCCAGGTAGAAAATCTGCAATGGAAATAATGGTACACAATACATGTTCAGAGTCAGTTTCATTTCTCGGACCTAAAGGACTTAGTGCACACCAGTGTATGTTAACTCTGCGGAGTCCAAGACAAACTGCACTTGTAATGTGTGCTGTACAGATAAGTGCAGTAAATCAGTGCCTGCAACGTGTATGACTTACTGAGAAACATGTTAACAGGGCAACACAGCCACAGAGGGTCTACTTTGAGCATGGCCACTATAAGAGGCCGTGCATGTGTACACGTGTGTATAATGACTTTGGAGTCAGTGTGAAGTTGTCTGATGAGAGAAAATGTATCTGACATCTGCAAATTTTGGAAGAAGACCAAATTCCAATTCCCCCCCCCCCATTTGAATAAAAGTTGGCTGAAAAGAGAATGTGCTCATGTAAACCCAGAATTATGGGTCCCTAAATTCAAAGTATTTAACTCTCCTGAAACTGCTTCTATGACGGGGGGGACATTTTAGTTTTGACTCGGCTGCTCCCATGGAATATGGAGCACTGCATTTGCTGAAGCTCATAAAAAAATATTGTGCAGGCTACGAGTGCTTCTCTCACACCTGTGCTGCTCTCCTCAAATTAACTTGCTGGTGATGGATGTGTAATTGTGTGTGCAGATGTGTATCTGGCGGGATCTATGAAGTGTTTGTTTGGGAACAAAAGGAGCAGCACCCAGCCCACTTGCAGCTGACTTGTCTCTGAAGGGCGAGCTTGGGAAAGCAGCACTAGGAACATGTCTCAGCCTTGACAGTGATGGAGATAGCTGCCCTACCTGCTGTGCATTCAGCAACCTTTGGGGTTTGCAGGGCTGTGGCAGTCGGGGGAGATTTTAAGAGATGCCTTTCAGCTTGTCAAGCAAGCATATCTGATGTGGGAATCCCTGATAGACAGGGAGCACACAGCCCTGCTGTGTCCCCAGGGCAGAGATTGCTACAGCTCCCTTCCCTCCAGCCCAAGGCCGTGCTCTCAAATCCTGCCCACCCAACCTGCTCACTGCCATTCTCCTCCTTACTCCACTGCTCAGCAGTTCCCCTCAGCTCTGCTTGGCCAGGGTGCTGGAGGTGACAGCCAGCTCTCTTCCCCATGCTCCTCTCCATCACCATGTTCAGCAAAGTGGAGAATGGGATGCTTATCAGCCAGTGAGGACATCTTGGAAGGAAGGAGAGAGATACCCCAGGGCTACAAGAAAATATTCTGTAGTGCCTATGGAATTAATCAGTTGTATCAAGACTAATATTGAAATCTAATCCTATTGTTCTTGCCATTGTGCTCATCAAATGAGAATATGCAATCACTCAATGCATGGAATGCTTTCACAGAGCCAGGTCCTATCTGTAGGCTCCCTTTCTGCTTCCCCTTTTTTTTTTCTTGTAAAATAGATCAGAAATATACTTAATTTATGAGCTGTGACTAGGCGGTAATTCAGTCAATATGTTTCTCAAAGACACAAATGTATAACAGATTCCAGGCATGTCTGCAAAATCCAATTGTTTTTAGTCAAGGAACCATCATTTTTGATTACTATGCTCACTCCAAATTAGATATTCATACTTTTTCATCTTATTACTTTTTATCCTACTGCTCTGTACTGATTTACAGCAGGGGAAAACCTACTCTTGTTTGAAATATCCACTGTCATTGATGAATTCTGCATGAGGCACATGATTAAATGTTATTTAATTTTTTAATGATGTCCATAAGTGTACGTGAGTGGTCTCCAGGCAATATAAATCTCCATGCATCAACACAGAGCAATAAGCAGTTCAGAGACATGATGTAGAAACCAGTTCAGATAGGCTCGTTCCACATCTATGTGGAACATAACATCTATGGTTCCTGAAGAATAAAAACAAGATTACTGTGCCTGCAAGAGGAAATCTTTTCTTACATGATTTGTACGACAAACATCACCTGGCAACTTGATTGTAGCCTTGCCTCTCATCTGAGTACATCTGTGCTGATCTCTCCCTTTGTAAAAACATTATGCCTTTTGCCTTGATATTGATCTGCTTCTCAGGGATTAGCATAAAATCGTACAGCCCTCTTAGAGCTTTATCATACCTCCATTGCAAAACCCATACAAGCCCTTTTCTATTATGACAAAAGAGTCTTTATCGCATCCTTAATCTGTCAGCATTCTGTAGGAATGAAAGATGTAGATATAATTACAGAGTTTGAAATTCATGTTCTAGGCTGGTCCAGCTGCCAGGAAAAGGAATACAAAGATAAATCCATGCATCCCACTTGCCTCAGTATTGTCTTGGTAGGGCCAACTGGATCAAAGTAAAATGTCAAACTTTGTGTGTTTTTACAATGATCGTAGAAGAAGCTGCAGAGTCTGTTTCTTGTCTTCATGCACAGAAAGGGCTTTGCTGCTTCTTTTCTCTGCCATCGTGTCCCTTTACTCAAGTCTCCTCCAGCTTGCTGCATCCAGCAGCCATTTCTCTCATCTGGAAAAGACAAAGGCAGTGGGATGGGCTGCTGGGCATGTCATTTAACTGCCCCAGTGTAACAACTGTGCTCAGGATGGACATCTGACAGGTCTCACTGCCCTCCTTGTAGTCTTGACTGAACACCTTTGTGTTTGCAGTACTGGGGCTTGATATCTGACACTTCCTGAAGTAAAGGTGATGTTTGATTACAAGTGTCTCATGAAATACAGGCTGGGACACTGCCCCCCCAGGCACGCTTTAGTGGGTGTACGTCAGAACACATCAAACCACCAATGTATTTGGCTGGACTTTGATGGATTTACTTCCAGCAAACTGGAGATTGAGTCTTACAGAGGACAGAAACTACTCAGGTTAAAATCACATACACGATTACATCCCAGATCACGCCATACAGATGGCATGACCCTCCCCTTCTTTAATCAGTGAACGGTTTGCTTTTGCTGTTCACAAGCATCTTTCTCTTTTCAGAGGAAAGAAATTAAAAAAGAAACAAGAGGCTGTTTGCTGCACTGCTACAAACCAGATCCCACTGTGTACAAACACCCTTTTCTCTGGTCAGGACTCCCGAGACCTCGGGGCTGACATGCTGAGATTGCCTGGTGTCACAGTGGCACTGGTCCTCATCCCGTGACACTTTAGGAGAGGTGAGAAAGCTGTCTGCAGAGCGAGAAACTCCAGATAAAAATAGCAAAGTCCCTCTGATCCCCAGCTTCCAGCAGGTGATAATGCTGACTAACACGCCAGCCTTGCTCTGGTGGGCTCAGCAGAAGCTGGCAGACAGATGGTTAAATTATAATGTTCAGAAATACCCTGCAAGTGGCTGAGTGAGCAAGAGGAGCTGTGCATGGAAGGATAGAGCCCAGGGAGAGATCACCCCTCCGCAACCTTTCGGGCTTTGTCTCAACATGTCCCACTTTTCCAGCAGAGAAGTCTTTCCATGCAGAGCTTCCTCTGTAGGCCTTGACCACTTTCCCTGATGCAAGGCTACATCAGCAGCAGGTGTTTGGTGCTCAGAGCCCTGCAGGGGCTGTAGTCCTTCCTGGTGGGTGGCTCGAGGCGCCTCCATATGCAGGTTGTCACCACCAACCTCTGTCCCCAAACTCCCAGTGCCTCTGCTGCCTGGCTCTCACACACCGCACCAGGCGTGCCTGCTCCCTGTTCTGTGTAAGTCCTCTGCCAAAACCTCTGACACAAACAGCACTGGTATGTCACAACATGTCACTTAAACATTCAGTCAGTTCCTCTTCCAATTCAAGCTAGCCAAGGAATAATAAATGACACAAAATTCTGGCTTTCCAACTACTTTAGCTAATCTAGCCCTTTATTTCTGGATCTAATCAGTATTCCAATCTAATATGCACACCATCTTGCATTTCCACATTTTTGTAGCTGTTCCAAGTATCTTGCACTACATATCTGGAAGGCATTCTGACTGTCCTGTGGTAGGATTGTAACAGTTGTCCCAGGGTTGCTGCTGCACCCCATCAGCGACAGGGAGCTCTGGACTGGGGGAGCGCAAAGCAACCTGCTGGTGTCAGAGCTGAATTTTGCCTCTGGATAGAAAACTGGGGGAAAATAAACACAAAACCAGAACGTAGGCTATATTAGAATGACACACAGGCAGGGAGAGGCTGGGGACAGGATGGCACTGCAGACTGCTGGGGAGCTGCTCATTGCTGCCAGCTTCACTTGCCAGTGCTCCAACTTTGTGTTTTCATTTCCTTCTGTAATCTCACAAGGGGTGAGCAGCTAAAGTACAGTGAAAAACTGGCCTGCAAACACCAGCCTGACTGGCTGTAATGATTGAGAGCATGATGCTGCAAGTTCTCCTCCATCTGCATCCACCTCCAGTGGGCAACCCAGCTATGCTGTGCTGTGCCATGCCAAGCCAAGCTTTGCCATGCTGAGCCATGCTGCAGAGTGTGTGGGCCTGCCTCTGGAGCAAGGAGGACACAGTTACCTTGCAGCTAGTCCTGCCAAGGAAGAAAAGAGAGGCAAAGGCCTAATCCCTACTCATGTGCACTGAAATCCTGCAGGAAGAGGAGCAGGAGACAGGATGAACATATTCAGTAAATTTGACCAGAGTCACCACAATCCCAGTTGGGAAATACCCTGTGTGCTCTCTGAGGGGATTCATTTCTAAAGGAAAGAGTGGTAAATCACCATGGCTAGAAGCAACCTGCTTGTTCTGCCTGGTGGAAGGGGAACATCCCAGCAAGCACATCTCAGGGGACTGAGTGGAGCCATCCTTCTGTATGCTCACCAGTTATGTCTGACTCAGATGCCAAGCAGGACAAACATATTAACCTTTCTTTAAAGCCTGGAAAGCTTTGTAAAATCTAGTTAGGCATGCAATGAGTGTGCGTTTACACGTATGTCTGAGCTGCACATCCGTTGCACTGAGGTGGACAGAGTGCTGCTGAGATATGATGCAGAAAATCCCTGGACACAACTGCAGAACTGAGGTCTTTGCATTCTGAATACTTCTTTTCACTTTCCTTTTCATGCCATTCTGTCAGCTGTCAGTAAGTTGCAACAGGAAATGTCTCCAGGCGCCACTCAAGCAAAGCTGCCCTTTCCCTCTTGGCAATCTTGGAATTGTGTTGGGGGTACAGCCCTTTATTCCCAGGGGGTCACTGTGCACATTTACCATGAACAGTGCAGTATGGGGTGGCACAAAGGATCTGAGGAGATCACTGCTCTCAGACATGATCCTGCCTTGCTGGGCATGTCCCTGGAAACCTATCTGCAGTGCCAAAGACAGGGCTTTGTGCAGAAGAAAATATGACTGAGCAGCTGAAGAGAGGACAGGCTGAAGCCTCCATCTGCTTAATGTAAGGTTGCATTTAACTTCTTGGCAAGGAAACCCACAGAGAAGAGGAATATTTTTGGAGTCCCATCTTTTCCTCGAAGATTTGAAGTTGATATGGCTACCACCTCTTTCTGTCTTGGAACACAAGTGAGAGAAGGGAAGTATCTGAGATGCAGGTCTGAGTGCTGCAACTCATGCTTATCACCATCCTAGGACACAGCTAATTTGGACAATAAATTTAGACTTGGTGCAAACCTTCCCTGCATTTCTTTGAATGCAAAACAAAGCCTACTATCCTGGTCAGGGCTGTCCTCCAAGATGAATGTTCAAGGGCTGCTGTGCAGCTGCATTTGTTACTGGATATGAGGTATGTTCAGATTTCAGAGCAGTTGTAATAGTGCAAAATAGACAATTAATAATGAAAAATGTCTCCATAACCCTCTTCCCCATGTGTTTTCATTTTAGTAATAAGCATTAAAAAAAAAAAAAAAATTAAAAAAAAGAAAAAAA